CATCCTTGCTTCCTCCTAAACTGTGCATGTGCAAGGGGGACTCCAAGTGGTCCAGAAAAAAGAGCTAGAATGCTGAAAGACATGAGTTGGGATTTCAGCTGTTTCACACTGTAGGAGAAACAGTTTGAAGCTTGAGGGCCACAAAAAGATTTAAAACACCTTGGGATTTCCACTGAAACCTCAGATTGGCTATGCCCTATGAGCCACAGACTGGGAGAAAGTACTCATGGTACTTATTTCTCAGGAAGGACTCATGAAAACAAGAACTCCTAAAAATCAATAATAAAAAGACAAACCCAATTTTGGAAAGCAGGGCAAAAGATTAGAACTAGAAATTATCAAAACAAATAAATGGCCAATAAACACATGAGAAAGTACTCAACATCAGAGAAATGCAAATTAAACCACAGGATACCACAGCATACCCACTAGCATGTCTAGAATGAAAAAGAATGACCATAGCAAGTGTTGGTGAGGATACAGAGTAATTGGAACTCCCACCCATTGCTAGAGGGGGTATAATAACAAAACCACTTTGAAAAACCATTTGGGAACTTCTTATAAAGTTAAACATACACCTCCTCTATTATCTAGCATTTCCACTCCTGTGTATTTACCTGAGAGAAATGAAAGTGTTATATCCACAAAAATTTACATATAAGAATATTTACAGAAGCATTATATATAATAGACAACAGGGAAAACCCGAAAAGTCTACCAGGAGGAGGATGGGTAAATAAATGGGTGCTACATTTCTGTAACGGAATACTACTCAGAAATAAAGAGGAATACTGTTATACACAATGACATGAATGAATCTTACAGAATTCATGCTGAGTGAAGAAACCAGACACAAAAGAGAACATACTATATAATTCCATTCATATGAACTATGAGCAGGCAAAACTAATCTGTGGCGAAGGAACACACTGCACTCACTGCCTTTGGTGCCAGGGCGCTGATGAGCAAGGCACAGGGGACTTTCAAGGTAATGGAGATGTTTTGTATCTTGCATTGGGGGGCTGGTTACACAGTTAAATTCAAATTGGTCAATTCTGGTCTTTCATTTCACCACATCTAAATTTTACCTCAATTTAAAAAAAAATTATGGGGGGCTGGTTGAAAGGAGTGTGGTAGCAGAGGATGAGGAACAGAATCCCTTATAGCATAAGGATGAGATAGGCGTTATATAGAAGAGAACATGGTCCTAAAGTTCTTTCATAGACATCGAAGGGTAAACCAAAAGGTTGGCATGAAACCAAAAATCTATAGTTTAACAGGCATAAAGCAAAAGGGGAAAAAACCAATTCAGCTAAGATGTGATGAATATAAACACAAACTTAGGATGCTATAAAACATGAGATTGCCAGAGTTAGCGAATATATTTAATATGGCAACCTGAACCAATACACCACTGGGCAATAAAACACCAGCCAGCCCAACTTGAGAGAGTGATTTTTTTTAAGCATCTTTTACAAAATGCTCTTTTATAATTTCCAAAATAGAAATTTTTACTGAATATGAACTCAGGTTACACATATACTAGAAACCACACAAAACTCATTCTTACCTTCAGTGAAACTCCCTGTTAGGGTTATTACCACAAATACTTTCCCTTCTGGCTCCAGATCCACCTGGAAAGAGAAAAAAAATTATATATTATATTTTATTATTAAAGTACTGCTTGTGGACTTTAAATAATTCATCACAGAGAGGCTTAAATATAGAAATCACAGCCACAAATCAAATCTAAGTCTTTCATTAAACAGTAGAGGGGCAAGGAAACAAGTGAAAACCCAATAAATTGTAAAGGTTAAAAAGCAAATATAAAAGAAACCATATTTTTTCAGCGTCCTTCATCTTGAATTTTTTTCTCTTCCATTTTTGGCTCTTTATGATACAGAGAAGCACTCACATACTTGGTAATTGTTTTTGAGACACCCATACCTTATGCGTACCGCTTGTTAGAGCACTTCACTAAACCATATGGCAAGAATACGAAATAGAGAAATAATGGCAGTATATAACGAAATGAACAAATGTGGCACAGTGAACTGAAAATCTTTAGTTTTAGTGAGTAAAAACCATAGTCTCTGTCTATACATTTCTACCAAAGTCTAGTCAATCTTAAGGAAGTACTCGGGAAGGAAGTTTAGGAGCTTTGCATTCACTACTACTCTTGACTATCCATGGAGTATCCACAACCCTTAAAGTTATCTGTCAGCTGAGCTATCAAGACATGTATTCTGCAAAGGAGGCAGCCTGAAGTCTTCTTCATGTGGTCCCATCCTCTGCATACACTCCAGTTTCCAGAAGACCTCACGCAGCATGGCGCCCAGGATGGAACAGTGCCTTCTAGATCTGCTCTGATCACCACTGGCACAGGTGGGCAGACTCTACCCTCTTCCTGCTGGGTGTGAACCTCCCTATCCATGAAGACCTCTAGGCCTTGCATTGCAAGGTTCTTGTAAACTCAGATACATGAATTTATAATTGTCCTTAAATAAATCTTGCCAGATTCAGTGCATGGCTCCATTCTTGCCTTTGACCTTTCATCTGAAAGGAAAGTCAAGAGAAGCTTTGACCTATAGGTAGAGAAGCTTGAGTATAGACATGGATTGTCACTTTTTGGTAAGACCACTAAGTTTAAATAAGCTGCCAGTCACATGGTACAGTAGAAAGACCCCCCCCCCATTCCCCACCACCCCGCCACACACACCCCATGGACTCCAGTCTGACTCTGCCACAGCTGTCTCTAGACTCTGGGCAAGGTCCTTGGCCACCTGAGCCTCACCATACTCATCTGAAAGTCGATGGCATCGTTGCCCAGCATTTCTAACGTGGCCTCCATCACATGATCTCAAAGAATCTTAACGGTACTATTTACTTTCTTCTTATTACTATTATATCTACAGGTGAACAAAAGCCCTCCACAAAGGCATTGGTCGTACACTAGGGCACCACCACACCCTGATTGTATGCTTTTTCAAAATACAAGACACCTATGTTGTACAGACTCAGAAACCTATACCTACATAACTAACTATTCTTACGACCCTCCCTTTCTCTGCATAAAATCCATTATGGAAGCAGTTACCACACTGTAAGTCGCCCCTGTGTTCCAATCAGCTACTTGCATCACGACGACTGCTAACTTAGCAATATCCCCTAACTATCTTAACACCACTTGTGAACCTTTATAGAACAGTTCTGAAAATAGAGCTCTCTGGAGAGATGACTAAACAGGATGTCAGTCTCTAATTGTCTCCACTCTCTGCCTTGACTTGTTTCAAGTCAAAAATATGTTATTTTTAAAAGCCACTCCCTCGCCTTCAACATAAAGGCCTGGCAGAGAACACACACTTACGCGTACATTTGACCTCACAACATGCGCTGCTGCTGGCACAGGAGCCACTGCTGCCAGCCCGGACAGACAGACTGCCGGCCTGCCTCCGCCATCCTGCAGCCCACAGCCAGCCCATAATCTCCCTCCAACACTGCCCTGAGGGCCCGCAAAGAAGGCCACACCGCCCCGAAGACAGGTCAGGAGCTGCTCTGACAGACAGCAGAGGATTCCACCACTTAGAATCAGGAGCTCTCACAAGTAGAACAAGTTTGCTCCCCCATTTCTGACCCATGCCACCAGCGTGGTGGAAAAGCCAGGTTCAAACATCATCTTCGAGTCTTGTCCATTTAGGAGAGATGTGCTAAGACATTAGCCCTTAGAAGGGGGATTTACAAACTGCAGGTCGAGATTCGTTAGAGAGACATTAGAGCAATTTAGTGGGTTGCACAAAACAGAGATTTTTTTTAAGTAGAATAAAACAAAAGAAAACAAGAACACACCACAGGGGCCGGGCGTGGTGGCTCAGGCCTGTAATCCTAGCACTCTAGGGGGCGGAGGTGGGAGGATCGCTTGAGGTCAGGAGTTCGAGACCAGCCTGAGCAAGAGCGAGACCCTGTCTCTACTAAAAATAGAAAAAATTAGCCCAGTGTCGTGGCGCACACCTGTAGTCCCAGCTACTCGGGAGGTTGGGGAAGGAGGATCACTTGAGCCCAGGCATTTGAGGTTGCTGGGAGCGAGGCTGACACCATGGCACTCTAGCCCACTCTAACAGAGCAAGACTCTGACTCGGCGGGGGGAAGAACACACCACAGGTACCAAGGAAAAGCACTTTCATGAAACTTTGGTTTGCAGTTTTGTATGCACGTATAAGGGTACACTGGGTTTTAATGTAAAGAGGTATTCCTTACTGTGTCACAGAGAAACAGTTTTAAAAATGTGGTGTTAGAGGTTATCTGTTCCGTCTATACATTGCTGATGGGCTGTTGTCATTTATTCATAGTGGTTGCTTGGATACTCCCAGTGACAGCCAACTCACTACTTCAATAGCTGGCCTATTTTATTCCTATACTTCATAGACAGATCTTTCTGTATGAGCAGAAATGCAGCAAGACCAATCGTTTCTACTCATTGACCCTAGTTTTGTCCTCCACGGTCCTAGTGGACACTGTCTCTCTAGCTAGAACATCCATTCCAGCTTTTGGGAACAGCACTTGAGCTTTATTTGAGAATTGCCTCTCCCTCACATGTAGCCCAAATGCTTCAGCTAAGATTCCGTCTCTAGCTCCAGGGCAGACAGGTGACCCGGACCTAGCACAGAACTCCC